ATAAGGTTTGCAATGACTGATATTTCAGAAGGAGACACCTGTGGGCAGACTCAAACTTACAGGCTTTTTGTTAGCATGTTACCCATTTACACCATTCAGAGATGCCACACTGTAATAGAGGTGCATAAAAATTAGTATGGGAACAAAGATGAAGGTGCAACAAATTCTTCCCAGTGCAAAGTGGGGAGAAAAGCAGATAATAGAAGCCAATGAAGAAATGGTATTTGTCTAGGTCTTGAAATACTAATGGAAATTTAAAAGATGAGCAAATAATGGGAAGGAGATTAATTCTAATAGGAATCATCCAGTTTAAGTTGTCTTCTCTACCCCCATCCTCATCCTAGATCACAAGTCCCCAAATCCCCAATGTTCTAAAGACAGTGTTTCATAAGTGTGATCTTTTGCCATGGGGAGATGTTCGTGCACCATAAAATGTTTAGTAGCATCTTTGGTCATACTCACCAGAGACCACAAGCAACATGTTCCCTCTACTCCTTAGTTAGGACAATTAAAAGTCTCAGGATATTGCCAAATGTCTCCTGCTACTGTTATTAAGTGTCATCAAATCGGGTCCGATTCATAGGGACCCTGTATTGGGTTTCCAAGAATCATCTGGTAGGCTTGAACCTCCAACCTTGGGATTAGTAGTTCAGTGCTTATCTTACAATGACACACCAAGACTCCAAATGTCTCCTAGCAGGAAAGAAATCATCACTGGTTGAGAAGCACTGTAATAGGAATTATTTCTAGTTGGAGATATGTCTCCTATACAAGGCTCATCTGTCAGTTTGTTGTTCTGTGGTGGCGCTGGAAATTATGCCATAGGTATATTAAATACCAGCAGAGTCACCCACGGAGGTCAGGTTTCAGCAGAGTTTCCAGAATAAGACAGACTAGGAAAAAGGAGAGGCAGATGACTTTTGACTATTTAGCCACTGAAACCCTTATGAACAGCAGTGAGACACTGTCAGATATTGGAAGGCACTCAAAATACAACTGGGGAAGAACTGATTCCTCAATATAAAGTTCACTATAATGACGTGAGGAGTCCTGGTGTAGCACTGTGGGTTAATGCATCAGACTGCAAAGCCTTTTGAACTGCAAGGTTGGCGGTTCAAGCTCACCAGCTGCTCCTTGGAAACCCTTACAGGGTTGCTATGGGTCGGAATTGACTTGACAGCACTTTACAACAACATAATGCTGTGAATGGAGAAGAACTTTCAGGACCTTCATTTGCAAATGGGGCACAACTCAAAATAAGAAACAGCTGTAAACATCCAATATTAACCAGATCACGGGATGTACCAAGAATGACTCTAGGAAAATTAGAAGGTGTCAAAAATGAAATGGAATGCATAAATATCAATATGCTAGGCATGGAGTCCTGGTGTGGTGCTGTGGGTTAATGCACTGGACTGCAAAGTTGGTATGAACCACAAGGTTGGCGGTTCAAGCTCACCAACCGCTCCTCAGACACGGTATATACGTTCATTATGGGTCAGAATACTGGTGTCCTGGTGTGGCGCTGTGGGTTAATGTGCTGGACTGAAAAGTTGGTTTGAACTGCAAGTTCGGTGGTTCAAATTCACTAGCTGCTCTTCAGTAACCCTATACAGGGTCACCATGGGTCGGAACCAAATCCACAGCATTTGACAACAATAATAATGAGTCAGAACTGATTCAATGGCACTTAACAGCAACAGTGAAATAAAATGTATTGGTATTGGCCATTTTGAATCTGATAATCATATGACTTACTACGCCAGGAACAACAAATTGAAGAGGAATGGCATCATATTCATTGTTAAAAAGAACATTTCAAGATGTATCTTTAAGAACAGTACAGTTTATTAACTATTATTCTATTTTATGTGCCAACCACTAGAGTGAGTGATAATGAAATTTAAGAATTCTACCAACTTCTTTATTCTGAAATTGATCAAACATGTTATCAAGCTGTATTGATAATTACTGGTGATTATCAAGAAATTTGTAAGACAGCTACTTGGTTAAATGATTGGAAAGGATCCATGTTTGTGCTCATTCCAAAGAGATATGACCCAATGGAATGTGGAAATTATCTAACAATATCATCAATATCACAAGCAAGTAAAATTTTGCTGAAGATGATTCAAAAACAACTACAACAGTACATCAATAGGAAACTGCCAGATGGACATGGAATGAGGGATATCACTGATGATGTTACATGGATCGTGACTGAAAAGCAGAGTACCAGTAAAATGTTTATTTGTGCTTTATTGACTACGCAAAGGAATTTAACTATGTGGATCATGACAAATTATGGATAACACTGCAAAGAATTGGTATTCAAAAACACTTCATTGTGTTGATGAGGAATCTGTACATTGACCAAGAGATAGTTTTTATAATCTTGTTTGTTGATGAAGATCAAAGACCACAACCTTCAGTATAGATTACATCTCAATGTAAAGAAAACAAAATTCTCTCAATTGGACCATTATGATACATGGAGAAAAGACTGAAGTTGTCAGATTTCATTTTGCTTGGATCCAGTCAACACCCATGGAAACAGCAGTCCAGAAATCAAACGACATATTGCATTAGGCAAATCTGCTACACAAGACCTCTTTAAAGTGTTCAAGATCAAAGATATCCCTTTGAGGACTAAAGTGTGCTTGATCTGAGCTATGGTATTTTCAATAATCTCACAAGCATGTAATAGTTGGAAACTGAAAAGCAAGACCATAAAAAAATTTGTGCCCTTAAAATTACAGTGTTAGAGAAAAATACTAAAAGTACCATGGACTGCCAGAAAACAAATAAATCTGCATTCAAAGAAATACGACCAAATTGCTCCTTAGAGGCCAGGATGACGAGACTTCGTCGCTCATACTTTGGACATATCGTCAGGAGGGACCAGTACCTAGAAAAGGACATCATGCTTGTAAAGTGGAGGGCTACTGAAAAAGAAGACCCCACAAGATGGAATGGCACTGTAGTAGCAGCAAGGGGCTCAAGCGTAACAATAGTGAGGATGATGCAGGACCAGGCAGTGTCTCATTCTATTGTTCGTCAAGTTACTATGAGTCAGAGCAGACTCATTGGCAGTTAACATAACCTAGGGTACCAAACCCAACTGGACTCTCATATTATTTTTAGATAGGAGATACATGTCAAAATACCCAACTATAAAAAAAGGACAACTACTTTAATTAAACATAAGGGGAAAAGAGTAAAATCTTTCCTATGATGTACAAGTTCTAAAATACTATGACTAATATTTATTGAGAACTTTACAATGTACAAATTACTTTTACACATCTTTCATTGGATGCTTGAAAAACTCTTGTGAAATATTAATATCATTACCATTCTAAAGAAGAAGGGTGGCTCAAAGGTATCACCTATTCATGACTACCTGGGTTTTAAATGCTGCAGGTAGAATTTCAAACCGTACAATTCTTTCCATTCAGTTTTATGAGTAACTCATATGAACTTTGTGTCACTTGACAGGACAAGGCAGAGAAAGGTTCAACGTCACTCAGATGGAGGAAAAAAATAACTTAAGAATGCCCTGCTGCTATCTTCATAGAAACTTCGCTAAAAATTACCTGTAGAAACAGAACACCACTAATCACCAAAAACAATGTGTTCTCATCCCTTGCCTTGTCTTTAGAGCACTTATTGCTCAAAAACTTAATACTAATCACCATCCTACAGTAATATTAACTTGTACTCTTTTACTTTTAAAACATGTTAACATATTTTGCTTATTCTAAATAGCCCTAGAAATTTGGTATAATAAAGATCATTATCTACATTGTTCGGTAGAAAACTGAGCATTAACACTAAGTAAATTGATAAAGATCACACAGTTAATTAGAGGCCAAGTCAAACTTACCTCCAGGTAAGTATTCTTTCGACTGTAGATCATCTCCCAACATCACATAACCCTACATCCTTCCAGATAAAAACTATTGTACAATAATAAAATATTCTCAGCCATGTGATAATAGTTCTGTTTCAATATTATCTGAAACAACATTTTTCCTTTAGCAGCTTTAAAAGTAGTATTTAAGAATGTAAAAGGTAAAATTTTCTGGTTACTATTACCAAAGACAGTCCTGGTGTGTTTGCTGTAGGATAAGCACTTAAGTGCTAACCACAATGTCGGCAGTTCAAACACAGTAGCTGCTTCTTGAAAATAGCTATGAGTTAGAATTGATTAAAAACCAACCAACAACGTTACCCACGACAAATCAACCACAAAATCAAATCCTTTGCTATGGTGTAAAAGCAAACCAATGGGATAGTGTAGAAGTGCTCCAAAGGGCTTCGGAGGCTATAAATCTTTATGATTGCAGACGGTCTCATCTTTCTCCTACACAGAGACCAGTGGGATTGACCTACCAATCACTCAGTTAGCATCCCAAACCTTAACCAACTGTGCCACCAGGAACCCCTACATTGAGCCAGTTACCAGAATCGGTTAGGCCAACATATTCATGGATTCTCAGTTGGCTCCCAACTACACTTACAAATTTCTAGATTTAGCTGACTCTATATTCTGGCACTGTAGGATAAAGCACTGGACTGCAAAGTCGGTTTGAATCACAAGGTCAGCGATTCAAACTCACCAGAGGCTCCTTGGAAATCCTATACATGGTCACTATGAGTTGGAATTAACTCGATGGAACTAACAACAACAGCATATTCTAGGAAAGGAGCTCTGGTGATGCACTGGACTGAAAGGTCAGTTTGAATTGCAAGTTAGCAGTTCAAGCTCACCACCGCTCCTTGGAAACACTATACTGACTGGGTTGCTATGAGTCGGGACTGACTCCACCACAGCACTTAACAACAACTTCTTTAAAAACCGTCTATGAAAAGCAAAGGTCTTATTTAGGATAATATATTTCCAGATAAACAAACACAAGTATTTTGAATACACTCCAGAAAGTGTAAGCAGTAAACTCTCCAATCTAAACCAGTCAACAAACAGAAAAATGTCTTACTCCATCATGGAGGGTGGGATGGTGCAGCAGTCCTGAATTGCAGTTAGGGGAGAGGTCAGATGAGCTGTATAGGATGCTTCTACAACTTGCTTGTTCCGGTTGACCACATCCAAGTAACGGTTGAATTTCTCTCGAATTTTCTTGGCTAGCTGTGGGAGAAGAGTGAGCAAAATAAATGGAAAGCTCAAGACAATAACCGAATGTGCTTTTTCTAATTACTTCTTTGAGACCCAAACAGCATATATTAAACTCCAGGGAAGTGGGGCGAGGGGAAACACACCCATGTCTTATTCCATTGCAGTAGTTGAGATACAAATTGTAAAATGCCCAGAAGTTACAGATACTCAGACAACAATAAAATAATATCATCTGAAGCATTATTAACATCTCATATGTTCTAATTCTAATGGGACAATACCTATTCATAAAACGCCTAGCTAAAAAAATAAAGCCAAGACTACTGAAACTACTGTCAGGATGACAGTGGGCATTGAAGTTACAGAACAGGAATAATGATTACAGGATAAAAGAGGAGATATTATCTGTTCCGGATTCACATAGAATACATGAATGGAAGAAAGCAGTATTCAGTATTGCTCCGCTGCACAACTGCAGGGGTCCCACTCACACACTACACCCCATGTGGATGGCAATTTCCTGAAGCTGGACAAGCAGACATACACACAAGCCATCTATGTTGTCAGAAATACACTTTCGTTTGGTCTGTTAGGCCTTGAAGACGGACAAATGTCTCTCTTAAGTGCTATGAACAGAACATTTCATCATAATGTACTTTCATGTGGGAATAACAAAAGCAAATTCATAAGCACACTCCTTTTTTCCTCCATTGTTCCCATCAAATGCCACAGCTTAATTACAGATCTCCAGGGAAAACAGTGTTGTTTTTCTTTCCCTTAAACAAAATGTTGCCCAAATTAAGTGACTGATAGAATTATAGCTAATTGGTTTTGTAGAGCTATTCATTATCAGCACACAAGAGGAGAACTAATCATCTCCTTTGGGTCACATAATGTCTAGCACAATCCAATAGCTTGCAGGCTGAGAACATGAAACCAAATCAGAATATCTTCATTTGTTATTTTTAAGCCAGGTTTAAAATGGGATTTTATTTTAGTGACATTCTTGACCTTTCAGAGTCTCCATTTAAATCAAGGAGCCTCTCATACATGCTAAAAGTTGCACCAACTATAAAATTTAGTAAAATTTCCAGACATATTAAAATGGTATGAATGGAGTATTTCATTTCATAATGTGGTATACAGATTTTAGCATTTTTCAGAGAAGTCGTATGGCTGAAACAGTCCACTGATAATTCCACTGTCTTATTTTATAATTCTTACTATCTAAAAAGCATGTGGGGTTGTTTTTTCTTACTGATGTCATCATAAAATGTACAGTTTAATTTCCCATCTTAATTTACACCAAAGGAGATTTTACGTTCTTCCCCACTTCAGGGACATTTGACAATATCTGGAGAGATTTTTGGTTCTCACAACTGGGAGAGAGGTGTGACTGGCATCTAGTGGGCAGACATCCTAGAATGCACAGGACATCAGCCAACAATGAGTAAGTATCTAGTTCAAAATATCAATAGCGCCTTAGTTTAGAAACCCTGATTTAGAGAAATATCCAACATAATCACTCCACTTGCAATGCCAATAGATCTCAAAGTATTTTAATTTAGTTTTCTACCCATTCAAAACGATACTGGAAAGGGGAAAATGTTCTCACAAATGTCAACACTTGAAAATTTCTATTTTATTCATTTGTTTTCCCATTCCCAATATAATGTGAAAGACACATCGTATGTATCTGATGCTGTTAAGCGCCCTTGAGTTGGTTCAAACTCATAGTGAGCCTGTATAGGTTTCTGAGGCTTTAAATCTTTGCTGGAGCAGAAAGCCACATCTTTTTCCTACAGAGTGACTGGAAGGCTCAAACCACACACCAGTGGTTCAGTCTAGTGCGTATTGTATGTACCTAGAATCTCTAAAATGGTGTCCAAATTAAAACCTAGGACTGTTTGTTGATTATTGGTAGATGTACACACATCTTTTTTAAACACTGTTGTTGTTAAGTACCATCGAGTCGATTCTGACCCATAGCGACCCTGTATAGGGTTTCCAAGGAGCTGGTGAACTTGAACTGCTGACCTTGCAGTTCAAACGACTTTGCAGTCTGATGCATTAGCCCACAGCGCCATACCAGGGCTCTAGCATGCACTAATATACCAATTCTCTTTCCAAGACTCTCATGATTAGTGGGTAGTTGAGGATGGGAAATAGTGTAGCAGAATCCAACTTTTAAAAAAATCTAATGTATATTTCCATTTGTTGTCACATGTTGCTGTACGTGTATCCAGACTGTGAGCCACAGGAATTTCATTGGCTGTTTTTCAGAGGTAGAGCACCAGGATTTTCTTCCTAGTCTGTGCCCTACATATCCCCTCATAACATATATAAAGACTTTTAAAAGTTCATGGAAAGTGGAATGAAAAGATAATGAAATTTTCCCTAAACGTTTTGAATCTCCTTCCCCTCCCCCCACTTTACACTTTAATGCTATGATATGTTTAGTGTGTTGCTACCCAACTAGATTGTTGTTGTTAAGTGCTGTCGACTCAGCTCCAACTCATAACCTGTACAGGGTTTCCGATGTGGGTTTGAACCACCAACCTTACGATCAGAAGTCCGACTCAACAGCACTTAACAACATCATTTATGTTTTTGTTCACCACTGTACTTCACTACATTATCTGGCATTGCAGGCACATTTAAAATTTTTTAAAAAATAAATTAATGAAGGTTTAAAAAAATTCAACTTTGAGAGCCAATTAACCTTATGCTTTGTTCCAAGGATCAACAATCTCTTTTAAAAACATGAAACACTTCATCTCAAATTCACTTTAAAAGGAAAATGAAGTATATAAATATTTCTCTCTGCTAATATTTGTTGTTGTTAAGTGCTGTCTAGCCGGTTCTGACCCATAGCAACCCCTGTATAGGGTTTCTGAGGAACAGCCGATGTGTCTGAACTGCTGACCCTGAGGCTCAAGCTGACCTTGCGGTCCAGTGTATTAACCCACCAGGACTCCATAGAACACACATAAATAATGCTCAACTTTATTTGAGAACTATCCAGTCTTGTTTTTTGAAAAGTCAAATCTAGCTAAAATTAGATACTGTAGAATTGTTTTTGCTAAGTGCTGTCAAGTTTGTTTCGACTCACAGAGACTCAGTATAGGGGTCCCGAAGAATTTAAATCTTTGTGAGAGCAGAAAACCTCATCTTTCTCATGTGGAGTGGATGGTGAGTTCAAACCACCAACTCTGTAGTTTGCAGTCCAGTGCTTATTATATGGAATGGAGAGTAGGAGTGAGGCACACCTGGTCTCTTATATCTGTTCTTTCTCAGCTCACAGCTCTGGTAGTGTAGTGGTTATGAAACGGGCTGTTAACTTCAAGGTCGGCAGTTTGAAACTCCGTGGGAGGGAGTTGAGACTTTCTGCTCCCATAAAGATTTACAGCCTCGGAAACCCTGTGCAGGGTCACTATGAGTCGGAACTGACTCCAGGGGACGTAATAACAACATATGTGTGTGCATGTGTGTGTGTGGTTGTTGTTGTTGTTAAGTGCCATCAAGTCAAATCCAACCCATAGTGACCTGTATAGGGTTTCCAAGGAGCAGCTGGTGAGCTTGAACCACCAACTTTGCAGTTCAAACAGCTTTGCAGTCTGGTATATTACCAACAGTGCCACAACAGGACTCTCTCTCTCTCTCTCTCTCTCTCTCTCTCTCTCTCTCTCTATCTATCTATCTATCTATATATATATATTTTTTTCATGGTTAAAAAAATATTTTATGACACGTAATAAATATATGAAATCCAAATTTCCAATGATCATAAATACTTATATGCACACAGTCATATTCACTTGTTTACGCATAGTCTATGGCTTCTTTCATGCTACAATGGAAGAAATAAGAAATTGCGACAGATGCTTTATAACTACAAACCCTGAAACATCTACTCTCTGGCTCTACATGAAGAAGTTTGCCAACGTGGGGTCTACATAGGGAATAAACTTTACTGATAACTGTTAAGTCAGGGGCCCTAACATGTTCCAAGATGATGTCACAGTCCCAGGCCAGTTTATTTTGTTTTTAATTGCTATGATTTCTTTAAAATCGTTCCATTAAGAGGTAGAGGGCCTATGCTCCCCTATGTACCTATTGCTTGAATCCAGTCAGTTTGTGCAGGCTTCTACCAACATGTTATGGAGAAAGGTTACATCATATAATGCCACACTGCTTTGCCTGTCTCTCTTAGAATGCTCAGCCTCTGGTTAGCACTACGCTGCTATGCTGTAAGAATGTAAGAAGCCCAAAATACATGGAGAGGAAAGGAATCATTAGGTCAGTAGTGGGCGGGGCTTGATGGCAGTGCAGTGAAGTTCGCCAT